ATGTGTATGTACTAGTCTACACTCTCCCTAAACTAAAAAAAGGGGGTTGTAAACGTCAGGGTATTGTGGGAAAAGGCAGCAATTACATTGGGGAAAGAGGGTTCTGAGGTTCCTACCACACATCACATGTGAATGACGTGATGTAATTCAGATCAGATTCAGTCAGCTCATACATTGTTTATATTGTTCGAACAACAAACTACAAGAGCAGACATTTGTTTTGAAACTTCAACAATGTATGTAAAGACACAGGTTGTTTTTTGAAGATCACAAGTAGCCTACAGTAACACTGCTGTGCATCATCAAAGAGAATCCGTCAATCACATCTTCCCTTCACCTATACCAAGACAAAAAGAAAAAAGGCCTTTGATCTTAAAACGTTTTAATATTATAAGAGTAAACCACATGTCCATAATTGACAATACTGTAGTGTAAATTTGCCATTATGGTCTAGTGTGAACTGTATAGCAACTGTGAGATCTGTATTTACAGTTGGTTTTTCTAAAACACATGCAATGTTAGCAGCTTGATGGAAATAACTGTTGGCTTATTCAAATGCTTTTAACCCACATATTGCAAAATGTATCTTTTTGACACGAAATGTCAATAAATAAACAGTAAACAATAAAATAAGATATTTCAATTATTTTCAGTCTGTGTCTATCTGATCCTTGTGTAGATGATGTAGTTTGCCTGAAACTGGCTATGATAATGGGGATATTCTTGGGGTGTGTACCTTGCTGTGTGATGTGAGGTATGGACATCCAACCAACCGTGAGATTTGTTGAGGCCATCAGGGTGGCAATGAAAGGGTTTACTGTTACAGATTTAATGCTTCTGTAAATACTGTATTCTGTTTTGTGCATACAAATGTGATGTGTCAGAAACAAATTCAACCAGAAAGTTCCTTTCTTTGCTTTCGGCCTGGTCCATATGGACATGTTCCCATTTCACTGTTTACTCCGAGACTCTGTCCCTTTAACTTTATGCAGAGCATAAATATTTCACTACAAGTTGAATAGACAAGCCAAAAAAGTGCATGGGCCTGGAGCCAGAGAGAGAGGGAAAGGATGCAAATAGAAAACAGACAAATGACAGAAACAGCAGCGCGGTCCACATAGTGTGAGCATTGGAGCGTAGCTGAGAGAATGTCACTCAGGTCACAGGGATTTGACGGATGAGCTTTGTTACTGGCTCTGTGTGACCTCGCCTTTCAACCCCTTTCAGCCTCAATGACACAAACAAACAAACACACATAGACATACATACACACATGGAAAAAGGCACCTAGAGGGCATAATTGTGTATATACCCAGGAATACAGTACAAACACACACATCCAACCACATACAGTACATGCCCATTCAGTCACAATATAAAGTACACATCGCATGACATGCAAGGCAATGACAGCCTTTTTCACATCATCAGCTGAGGCACAAGCAGAAATTCCTGACCCATACCTGCCCTCCACACTATGGCCCTGTGGGCATGAACCCTGAATAGAAAGGGTAACACCACTTGTCTAAGCTGTTATAGACTTGACACGCCATACTCGCACGGCAGATTTTGGAAACCTAACTATACACACACACTCCCTATCGACCACTTGTTCTCTAATCATAGCCACAAAATGTGCATTAAACCCCAGTGACCATGGTGAAACTTCTGACTTTCACTCACCCATGAACCCAAAACACACAATAAAACAGCTTGACGCCCCATTCATCACACCTACACTGAGTATGCCATTCTGATGCGCCTTTGTGATGCTCTGGGAAAAGCCTTGAAATGGAAAAGTAGTGAACAGCTGGAGAAAAAGGAAATATAGACAAATGGATGCCTGGATCGATGGCTCCTTAGATAGATGGATTTGTGAATAAAGAGAGTAATGTGAAAGTCTTCCGGCTCTGCTGGGTGTGCAGAAATCAGTCCTCTTCTCCGTCAGGTAAGCATGGTCACTGACATCTCACCTGGACTTGGTGATCATGTGCCTACTTACTTCTTAAACCATGTAGCCATGTATATGTAATTATATAAATCAATTTAAATACAAGAAAGGTACGGCTACAATGAAACACAAATTTAAATTCTTTCAAATAATTAGCACACATCACCATAGCAAGACCAGTGGAGTCCAAGCATTGTCCTGTGAGCTTAATTAATCACAACTTTGGTGAGCAGCCAACAGAGAGGGAGGACAGCCCCCTTCTGTCGGAAACCTCCACAACATTGCTCCAGAGTGAACCCACATCCAGGGTTAACGCAATTACCAGCATGTCCTCCCAACCATACATCCAGCATCACACCACAGGCACTGTAATTGGTGGGCCTAGAATTGCAGGGAAAAATTAGAAAAGCAGTAGAGGGAAAGAGGTGATTAATTTGCTGGAGGAGGAGGTCGATGGCGATGTAAATCACTGCATGTCAGCGCAATTTAATTTCCCTGATTCCCTCGGCCTTGTCTGCCATGCCAGCCTTGCTCGCTGATTGGTTAGCGTCAGGTCATAGCAGAAGAAGTCATGGAGTGAAGGACACCGTGCATAGCTTAATTACAGTATAGGACCCTGTATGGGACCTGTGGACCCTACTTTCCACTATTCTTGTTTGCATGTTCCCCTGAATACAGGGGGTGAGGACTGAGGAGGACAGGTGATATGAAAGTCTGTGCTAACATCAACTACTTCTTAATTGAATTTCCACATATGTTAGCTGATCACATTTAGTTCTATTTCAGAATTTAACAGGCATATCGATGGACTCAGTCTATTTGTATGTGGTATGATATAAATAAAACTGCTCTTGATGTGGAAAGAACAAAAACAGTTATGGAACTGAAGATTTCATCTGGATGCTTATGATAATAAAGCAGCAGTCAGTATGAAAGTGAAGCACATCCAAAGCTTTGATATGTTTGTTTTAGAGTCTCTATCAGTAAAAAACACACTGTCAAAAAAACCTGAGTCAGTGTGTTACCATCAAAACAGCTCCCCAGGTTCTAAATTCAAACCCCACCTGCTCTATTGACTCTCCAGATAATACCCTCAAGGAGACTTTGTTTGCATTAAACAACATCAAAATGCCGACCACAATCTATAATCCAATCCCCACCTTTTACACTCTGTTTTATTAGCAAGCTCAGCGGTGCAGACAACAGAGGTGCTGCTCCTCTTTGTTGGTACATAAGACCCATTCAGCAAGGTTTAGCCACAGGGGTCAAGCATACAAAGCAAACTATTCCTGGGGAGCAATTATCTCTCAGCCACACCAATGTGAGGGCATAGCTCCTATGGTCCGTATGAAACTTCCTGTTCACACCTGGGCTACCACCTCTAGCCAATAGGTAGCATCCCCTGGGATTACAGTGTACAATATATTGTGCATGTTTGTTTTTGCATATAACCCAAAGTAATAATTCTAACAGAGTGCAGCTTCTATCTAAGCTCATCCTGAAAGGTGGATATAAAATATAAAAAAAGTACATTGTGTGTTTTGTATTGTATTGTTTAGTTTCTTCGCCTATATTTAGATGAAAACAAATTATTTTGAGAACTCTCTTTTCATACCTGCGCAGTACCGACTCACAGGCTATTTGACTGCATGCTTTTGATCTCAAGTTTTGCATGTGTTGAAATACCTCTGAAACTAATCCTAAAATAGGCCCTTTTTATAGCATAATGTATTCATATTTATTCATAATATATACAGTGCTACCACAATGCTGTACATTCACAGTGTATACAATGAATCTTTTTCAAAGAGAACCCCCTAGGCAGTTTTATGAGACAAGTGAATATCTGTACTCCCAGGTAAGACTGGCAGAATAGGTTGTGTACGGTCACTGGAGGCTGGTAACCCAAAATAAGAAGAGGACAGGTAAAATACAGGGCACGGCTCAGTAATTTTCAAAATAAAAGCATATAGCAAAAAATGTATTGCTATTGTAAGTATATTTATATTGTACGTTTATTTAACTTAAAAATACAGAAATCTGCCTCTGCCTTTATGTTGATAATGCTAATAATATTGATATATATTAATAATATAGAACCATGCTCTTTATCATACATCGTTTTGCTTGCAGAGGACTTACTGTCTACAAAATGCAGGCAGTGGCACTCATGATACATTGGCAGTAAACAAGTTCATTTGCACCAAAGTCTCAAAGCAGAGTCAATGAGGTGATACTACACATGCACATGGGCCAGTACACACACACCCACCCACACAGACACACACACACAGACACACACACACACACAAATGCCTGTGCGTGTACATATCATTGCTCATATGCTCACACACACATACACACACACAGACACTCAAATAAAAACACACACACAAACTCAGGCATGCCAGGAGTCCTAATGACCTGCGCGTGTGTTTGCGAGGGTGTAAGAGTGTGTTTTGAATTAGGAAGAGGAGAGGCAGAAGATGAACTAACGATGGCTGCTAATAATTACAGATCTGTAGTGTGGAGGAGTTAATGAGGAGCCAAAGCCTCCCATGATGCCCCAGTAATAATGAATGAGGAGTGAGAGAGGAGGGAGGGAGAGAGAGGGGGTGGAAGCTGTCAGTTTGAGAGGCCGCAATGCCCTTTGGTTTCTCTGCACTCTGGGCATGTCAACGAGAGAGGAGCCTTCCCAGAGGAGGCTTGTCTCCACACTAATGAAGATGTGACAGACCTCCCGTCCGTGACTTGCAGAGTATAGGGAGGAGGACGAAGGAGGATGAGGAAGACGAAAGAGACAGCTTATATAAAATGAAAAGGGACTGAAAAGGTGAAAGGTTTCAAAGACCTTAAGAAGCATGTGACAGTGTCAGAAGACAATCTGATTAAACTGATAGATTGTTTGAATGTTTCATTTGCCATGTATGTCAATAAAAAGTTGACAGGACACGATAGATTACAGGCAGATAAACTCTTGTTTAGTAAAAGACAAAACGCTACCCATGGCACTCAAGCTAAATAAAAGATTAACATTGCAAGTACTCACTAGAGAGCTGGTGTAGCTGGGATCAGAGGTGTCGTCCTGCAGGTAGCGTGACAGGCCAAAGTCAGACACTTTACACACCAAGTTGCTGTTGACTAGAATGTTGCGTGCAGCCAGGTCACGATGGACGTAGTTCATTTCAGAGAGATACTTCATCCCAGCTGAGATCCCACGCATCATCCCCACCAACTGGATCACTGTGAACTGACCATCGTTTTGCTAGCAGACAGAGAAAAGAAACAAATAAAAATGGTTATCTAGATATTATCTTTGCCATGATTAACATAAATGAGAATAGCTGGAGGAAATTCTGAAAGATATTATATTGACTAAATAGTCCTGGCTTGAATGTTGTTATTTTAAATACCTATTGTTTGAATCTGATTCTCTATCTGTGCAAAATAAGCATGCACTTAGCATCAAGGCGGCCCAGTGGGACATTCCTCCAGAATTAGAAAATATATAATTATTACCACAGCCAGAGGGTACATACACATACAGTGACAATGAGATAAGATATGTTGTCACACCTTAGATGTAAATAAGAGATGGAACAGTCTAATCTACCTGCCTTTCCCATATATTTGAGTTTTTTCAAAGTAGGTAATTATGTTACATTTATTTCAGTTTTTTATTTCCCTTTCTTTTAAATCATTTGTTGTTTACAGTTTGCCGTTACAAAATCGACATGCTGAGCTCTTTTCTTGCCTTTCAAATCCTCTTAATGTCTAGAGGAAAAGTATACTTTTCGTATTAGATAAGCAAAATGGATTCCTGAAGCCAATTTTGCTCATTGAAGGTGTTAAAGCACTGTTTCATTCGGGCATGCAGGCATCCATCTCTTTAACATCCACATATGGTGCCCCTACCCCTGTGTGAATGCTCTGAAGAGCAAGCTTTGAACCCCCGAAACACAGTAACAAATAAGAGGGTAAAAGAGATCGATGGAAACACAAGTCGGATGTGGCGGTTAGCAAAGCCAACTTCAAAGAACCCCTTTAAACCCACCCTAGATCAAAGTGGAATAGAACACCAATCCATGAGATTGAAGGAGGAAAAAAAGCGAGTTGAATATTGATTAAGCTGTATGTCTGCTCAATCCTGACTATAAAAGAAAGAGTGAAGAGTCCATTATTAGCTCCAGGCATTAATAGAGAAATTAAAGGCTGATACGGCTAGCTAATGGAAATTTCCAAATTAAGAATGATTGGAATCATGTTCATTGTCATGAAACATATTCTCTGTTGGCACAAGATAGGTTTAGAAGGCTTATTCTAATTTGTATTAGAGGGATTCATAATCTGAACTCCTTTTCTGGGATTGTTTAACAATTCATTTCCAATTAGCTTCTCAGTTCCATGATGCAAGGTTTCTACTGTATTCAACTGAATTTTGATCACCTTATATTAACTGTTTGCAACTTTGTATGACATGGTACATGTAAGTGTTCACAAAAATTACTCACCCTGAGAAATGAGTCAAGGGCACCATTTTCCATGAACTCAGTAACGATCATGACCGGACGGCTCTTCGTGACAACACCTTCCAGACGGATAATGTTTGGGTGGTCGAACTGGCCCATGATTGACGCCTCAGACAGGAAATCCCGCCTCTGCTTCTCCACGTAGCCTGCCTTCAGGGTCTTGATGGCTACATAGATCTCCCTCTTACCAGGCAGCTTCAAACGGCCCTTGTACACTTCCCCAAATTCACCTACAGCGGAAACAGAAAGAGATGCTCAGCGGTTGCTCTGTCAAAAACAAGAACTTATCTACTTTTGTGTGATCAAAAAGAGATCAGACAAAAGATTAGTAGAGTTGATGAGATCTAAATCTATTCATTCATCAAGCTTATTGGCATCTCATGTCCCTAGGCAGAAATATTTCCCACACTGCTATTATAGATCTTGATTTAGTCTATATCAAGCATGCTGAGTGTTGTCCAATACTCCTCTAGTGTTGCTCCCTCATGATATTCTTAACAGTGTGGCTCCTCTGACTCACCATAGTCATCTATCCTAAAAGCCTGCCAAGTGTCCTCATATTCCCCAATCAAAGAATAACAGCCAAGCACTATCTGGTAAATATCTGGAACCTGTTTGATTAATTATCACCACCTTGGTGTCCTGCAGAGACACCACACAGTGAAATAAAAAAAAAACGGAAATCTTTAATTAGTTAGTCCCTTTGCATCCTTACCCCTTTCCTATCTCTGTCACTTCCTCACACCTAGCTTGCTGAGTAGGCCAGTCCACGGGTGCTATTATAGGCCCAGTCTCATTACCAGGGGTATTTTAACCTCTGTATAAACTACACACATATGGTATCAGCATGAACTCCCTGCTATAAAAAAGGTTTGCCCGGTCCAAAGGAAACGACACGATGGAAACACATGGACATAGTAAGCTGAAGCTATTTCAGCCACAGTTGCTGAGAATTGACTTCAAAGCCATCACTTCCTAGTTACCTGTTCATCAGTTTTAACAATACATAAGAGATCACTCTGAAACCAGGACAGAAAACAATTTTTTACATGTAAAAGAAAGTGGATGATGCAAGGTAGCACGTGTAAGAGAGCAACACTAATAGGATCCAAAAACAGAGACGCACAGGGAATAGACCGCAAGGCTTGAGTTATTTCTAATGCCATTAGGTCCCAGGGTAGCTGGCCTATATGCTGCTAGTGCACTTGACATGGGCCCTTGACATGTTCCAATCTGATGTGGCTGCCAAAAGGGCTAGGCTTTATGACCTTGAACAGATTCAGGCTAAACCTGTTTGCACACAAGCACACATACACATAGACATATAACATAAAGAAATACACGAAAATATAGCAATCCATAGTCACCTTGCACCTTGCATACACATGCACATCTACACACCGACTACCACACACACACAAAGATTGTTCCATAGCAACCATTTTCCATACCTGCACCAATGACCTCCTCGATCTTGACAGTGGAGACGTCAATCTCCTTGGCAAACTCTCGTACAGCTTCGTTGGGGTCTTCGTAGGTAAAGGGATCTATGTAGATCTTCATCCCCGGGGAGCCTGAGAAGTGGGTCGGGCAGCCCAGTGGGGAGGGGCAGTTAGACATGTCGGCTCGCAAAGAGAGTTCTAGAACAACCAAAGTGCTAAATGAGCTTTCCAGAAGAAGAAGAAACTGTTATTTTTTTCTTTGGCTAATGTCTAGTGTTAACGGTTGATGAATGCAGTTGCCCTTCAAGTCTTAGCCTAAATCACAGTGTGACACAGCATGACTCACAATCACTACAAGCTATTAAAAGTGGTAAATGATGATCCATCCATTTGCTCTACGGTACTCCTCACAGATGGGCAGGAGCACTACAGTATGCAAATGAATATTAGCACATATTAAATAGTATAGGTAGAGGATTACAGAAACATCCTTAGTTGCAGGTAGAGTCGACAACAAAATGGTGGTTTGATGATTCAGTACTTGGAATGGATAAACAGACCAGAAAAAAACAGAAAGCGGGAGAGAGATGAAGGGATAGAGGGAGGGATGATGGTATATAGAAAGAGTAAATGTAGACAGATTTTTTTTACCCTTTTATCCCTTACCCAAGCAGTCTCTGCTCTTTGATAGTGGTAGAACCAATTTCCCCACAGCATTTTCCTATAGGAGCTCATAAAGAGATAAAACCACTGCCCTATCAACTAGTGCTTTATGCTGTATTGCAATAGGTGAGCTCAGTTCAGGCGATGTCTGCAAACCGAGGACAGATTTTCTGTGTTGACAACCTGGGTGGGGAGGAATGCCGAAAAACACTTGTAAACAAATTCAATTCACACTGCAGAGACGGACACTACGGCGAACAAGCAGATGTCAAATCATCATTTCTACAGTGACACCTAAGGGCTGCCCTTTTCCTCAAAGCTGTTTAGTCAAAACCTTGGCAGCCATGATTGGAATAAACCCATCTCCATCAAGTCAATTTGTGTCTGCTCATTTGCATAAGCCACATAGAGAGAGGGAGGGGTCTCAAGAGACAGGGGAGGATAAGGTCTGGTCTTGGAGGGATCAAGGTGCCTCACTTCGCTCTTGACTAGAAGCTGATTCTGGTTACCGCACTAATTGCCTTGAACTGTGTCTGTGTGAATGTAATTGCTCATTAGAGATTCCATACAGATTGTATTCAAGTTAATCCATCGGAGGGTTTACAGCTTTGCATTCCATAAAGTCATGCTATTTACAAGTGTCGCCAAGCTGCTCACTCAGCAGTAGCACTGGGTGGGACTCAAAATCTCAGCAGGGAGCATATACAACAACAAACATATGAGAACACATGCGCTCAAAATCTAAAGCACAAATGTATGCACGTACACAGAAGTACACCCATTACTTTCTAATTCACAGTCCACAGCCCACTTTCATGTATAATTTAAAAAGCAAACAGTTTATCTCCCTCTCTCCCTCTGGTACAGCTCTGGTTAACTGGACTCATCTTTTTATGGCCATGGGATAAAAAATAGATTCCTGCTTTAATATTTCATAGGTCCTTCATCTGAGTGTATAAAGCAAATGTATCCAAACGCCAGTTCTATTTTTACCCAACATATAAAACAACAAGCCTGTCAGGAGTGAATGCATGGCTGCTGCAATGACTCACACGCACTCAACACATACCATATTTTCATACCCTTTTCAATTAGATGGCCGCATGTAAAAATAAATGGGAAAAACTGACATAAATATATTGAATTTGGATTATAATAAATCCAAACAAAGTGCTTAGGCAATGACACAATTGCTAAATGGTTAAGAGTATTTAGTTGACCAGCATTATAAATTACAGTTTACTGCACTGCACTTAACCATGTTATTTTCACCAATGTCCAACATTTAGCCTGCTATTAGTCTGCCCTGCTCGTTTACTGAATGGCCCTAATGTATCCACAAATCAACCGTACGGCAGTAATACTTACATTAATCTATTACAAGCTATGGGTACAATCAAATTACTGGCCCTAGTACCCAGAATTTACATATTGCCTAAAGACAAACAGCAATGTCAGTAAGTGAAACAGTAGCTTCACAAATCCTAATTTTTTCAAGTTAAAGGAATTCTTTAATACGTTAGTCCTTCACCAAAGACATATAATTTCTTCTAATTCCTTTTGCCTGACAATATTTGTAAACAAATAACAACAACATAGAGTAATATGTTTTATGTGATTATCCACTTTGAGCATTAACATCAACAATTGAAGGATACTATATGCCTTTAGTGTATACATTCCCACTTCATGTTAGTCCAAGATGTATACTAATCTATCCTGTGGCTCTGAGAATATAATGGGTTGAGTTAACTTACTAAACACAGACTAATTATCCATCGTTTGATGTCAGAAAATCTTTTGTCCGACACACACTGCAGCTTATTAGTATGGAAATCACAGAGGGGATCTAAAAATTGTATGTTATTAACAGTCACATTTGTGTAGATGTTAGTTTGCATTTGTCAGGCATGTGGTGCCTTCTGCAAGTCTTCACTTTGTGAAAGACAAAATTGTGATTAGCAAAAAAGGGTTTAGCCTATAATAGACCTAGGTCAATGACAAATGTCACAACAATCTACAGATGCTTACCAATTCTGTTCATGCCTTAGCTAACTCACTGAAATCACAGGAAAAAGAAATAACTGAAGTAAAAATACATTTGGCATCTAACAATAACGAGATCTGTTAAATGGACTTTTGAATCCCATTCTCTTTCAGTCTGAGCACCAGATGCTGAAGCACAAACAACAGCTGAAGCTACAAAGTGACAAACAGGGTTAGAAGATTAGTAATTCTAAGATGTGTTTGTTGTCATATGCAGAGAAGCATTAGGGCATATAGTAAACATGCAGTGCTTAGGAAAGGATGTCTCTTAATTAACTGATGTTGACAAGTTGTTGATGTGCGGGAAAGAGTGAAAGGCAATGGAGTAAAAATGACAAATGCTCAGATGCAGTACAGTGTGTGCAGTATGTTGGGATGAATACTGGTGATAGGGATGATGCCCTGATATGTTCAATTAAAACAAAGAAATATACCCTCCAAGCCATACAAGCAACGCTTTTCTTCATTAATCTGTGGGAATGATGTGCGTGTGTTCATGCGTGTGTTCTAATCTGCCTGTCACGACATCCCACCCAGTATTTGGTGTATTGTTGGGAAGGTCTGATTTTCATAACCATGGCCATTCTATAGCTACACTACTGAATTTACAGTATGAGCAGCATCGCTCTTGATGCCTGTCACATTAAGTGGGCTGGAAATGAGGAGACATCACCTGACGTGTGTGGCAACAGCTGGAAAAGTAGGCAGCTGGGTAAATGCCGGCACCACATTTTTGGAGATTCACCCAAAACAATTGGCTGAGCGGCGCTATTTAATTGTTGCGTTGAATACTGTAATTACAAAACTGTCAGTCAATTCTTGAGAGAATAGAAGAAAACAATAAATCAGGGGGTGGGGGATTACTTCATGAGTGTTGGCGGTTTGAAGGTTGAAGGAATAAACCTATGAATAGGATCCCTTATCAGCATTTTATTCCCTCTCCACTTCAAATTGCTTATTTGATGATTAGGGCCGCAAGCGTCTCTGATCTTTTGTTTATTTTAACCACTTGTGTTAATTGCATTTGGTTTTTCCAAAGATAGCCCGTGACAAAACTGACTCTTCTGCCCACAGCAGTTTTAATGAGCCCCCAGCTGCCAATGCTGTAACTGTGACACAAAGTAACCGTGTTGAAGCGCTTTGCTGTGTCAGGCTCAAGAAAACTCTATCCCCTTGAGTGAGCGCCTTTTCAGACTGCTAGGTCGGCAGTACATAGGGCTTTCATTTGAGGTACAAATCTCATACACACTCTTTTGTGTGTGTGTGTGTCTAAGTGTATGTGTGTGTCCCTCCAGGCTCCTTCCCCTCATCAGTCGGTGCCAAGGGGGTGCTCATAACATGACTCAATCACATATATCGTACAGCCCTGAGAGATGACTGTCAGTCAGTATCATTGTGTAAAGGAAAGAAATTGACGTTTACATCCCCAAACGCCTGCTACCTGAGGTTATTTCTCTTTTACCTTACTTCCTTTTCCTTAATGCATTATGTACATGTACATGCTTTATGTATCTGTCCTCTGACATACAGTACATGATGTGACAGCAGTAGAGGACTGGACTAAGGTGAAAATGCAGGTGTAGGAAATATCATTAAATACAACACTCACGTAGGCAGGAATAGTTAACATGTTTATAATTTTTTTTGTTTCCCAATTTGCCTCAAGGTGCTTTATTTTGATATATATACGCAATATATAAAACAAGTGGAGTCAAGTACAGAAATCAAAAGAGATTGTAAAAAGTAAGACTAATTACAAATGGCAAAAACAAAGGGGCCAGAAACAAAGTGAAGAATAGAACATGAGTTCGAGCTGGTGGGTATGTAGTAAACAGATGGTGAAGAT